TAGCTTAGAACAAAAGAAACATCATAAATTTAAATATTAAATCGAATCCGTTGTACGAATCTGAACCTATAAATAAACTTATTGTTATTTTAATCATATTTTATTCGCATTCAAAACCAATTAAAATAAATTGTTTAACCTTTCCGAATGTTTTGGAGCAATATTAGTATTTATATTATGTTAAGGGGCCTCGCTACTGCTATTATTTAAGGGGCAACATATAGGCAATTTCTAATCTCGTCGTAGCCGTCCGAGATATTTGTGTTAGTTGTAAATGATTGTTAGTGTGAGTACAATTCAATGGGGGTTCCTTCCATACCATCAGGTAGTCACTAGTCGTAATCATATTATTATAATCGGTGTCCCGTACTCGCGTGTTGAATGGCTTCGGAGAATTCGGTTCATTAGTTTTAACTTATTATGCTATGAATTGAGAAAAATAATAATATAGTCCGCAGTGTAAAATAATTTATATAGTTATTATTGGTATAGATTATCTGGACCGTACAAATCTGAATATATATATCTGCATATCCACATTTATTTTGTCCCTGTTACCTATTTGAAGTGGTTTTGCGTAACAAGCCAAGGGATATTTTCGATTTGCAAAGTGTAGCGACGAGTGCCAATACATGCGTAATCGTATCCAGATTCATACGGTCCAGATAATGTACTTTCCAGATATGTACAGTTTAGATTTATGCGGTCCAGAATTCTAAATTCTAAGTTTATACGTGGACCCATAATATATAATATAAAAAAACAGGAAGAGTTTTAGATTATTATTTTTTTTTTTTGCCATATAATATAGATAGGTATATTGTGTATATTTTGATGAATAGTTCAAGTATTATTGCATTAGTATAATATAGTTTAGGAGTTTAGGACATAGGTAGTTTAACATCAACTATTGTCATTATTATGTAGTATTATTAGTCATAGAAACAGTATACATAATAAATAAACAATCAGTGAGGGTAATAATTACGAAATTTTCTGTTAGTGCAGTTCATACAATAAATTGTTGATTATTACAATTACGTACTTATTTTTTAATTATAATAATATTGTGATAAAATAGTATTATTTAGGTAAAATTAAAATCATATGACATAATTTGTATAGTAAATAATAGCTTATATTATATTCATACGGGTATAGTGTAGCCTATTATTTTCTTCATTTTTGCTTCCAAAATATAAGTAGGGTTTCTTATTGGCATACTTCTGGAATGTCTGGGATCAACCAATTCAGGAAGAAGGCAATTGAAGAAAAACATTTCTAGTTTTGGAAACATTTTGTTATCCCAAAATATATCATCTCGTTCAATTGTTTCATACTTTAAACCTTTATTTGTTCAATATGCTATTATACCAAATCTTCTTCCAGTGACGTGTAGTTGTCCTTGAACTCGGTAGTAATATTTATGATTGGTATTAATTCCTATAATATCTTTGTTTTTATCAATTTTCCATAGGGTAATTTTATTTATTAATTTTAGAGAAATATAAGTAATTACTAACATTATTATAGGATACCACGAAATAACGTATCCAATTATATTACACTGTTTAGGTTTATTTAGCTAGACGTGGTGCGATAGCGGTACGGGGGGCTCTCGCACGCAATCGCACGCACATGTCATCAGGTAATATCATGATCGCAAAAAAATGTTTATTTTTCATTCCAACATACGTTTCTAATTCCAACGCTATGTGTCGACAATTATCACGATTTTCATTCTGAAAAAATATTTGGATGCTCCGTAATGTACGAGGATCGATCGAGGCACATTTTAAAAATTGTATTTAGTTAATTAAATATTTAAGTTTGAAATTTTGTATTTTTTTGTATTTACAAAAATATTTATTGCAATTCAAACTACAAAAATTAAGAATGTGGCTCGATCGTTCCCTTGTACATATTACGGAGCATTCGAATATTTTTTCAGAATAAAAATCGTGATAATTTTCGACACGTAGCGTTGGAATTAGAAACAGTAGTTTTTGTTAAAAAAAGACGTGGTGGTGAGGCCCCTTAATCAAAAATATAACATATTTTATTACATATAGTATGTATGAAAATATCCTAATATTGTTATATTTATTTTTAATCACTTAATATAACTATTATTCCGCGTACACAAAATGAGTATTATGAAATAATACATTTCATATATGTCCAAATAAGACCGGACGAGTATGGGATATATAAATATGATAATATTACATTCGTATGTATTGTGTGCATTTAACGGCTGTTGAACAGAGATTTCGTTAACAGCGCTATGAAACCACGATCACTGATAAAATGAATCCTCCAACAATACAATTGAAGAACGGGCTAAAAAATGTCTCTCGATTATTTTTAAAAACGTATTTAATTTCACTCGCGCCGCGGAGATTATCCGGGTATGATAATGAGTATGCCGGTTCATGTAGAATAAATTGTTTAGAATAAATTAAAAGAAATTACGCACACTGAAATTCTCAATGAAATATAATTGTCCATAATTTCCGCGTGAAGGTTTGAAATATGTGCACATGTGGACGTTAAACATATGACGACAGGGACGTCCAAGAACTGACGTGACTGAGGGAAAATCCAACCGGCGCGTGGTACACATATGCGATGTTTACGAACGATCGTCGGATAAATAATGAACCTCGATTTGTACGCTTTTTAATTGTTCCGAAACAAAAATCTTCACCTGAAAGAAGTACGCAAACTCAACCTAGATAATGATCAATAACCAACCAATAATATGGAACAACAAGGACCAGGCGATTAAATACCTTGGAGTTATTCTTGATAAAATTTAACCTAAATAACACTTATAAATAATAAAATTAACCAAGCCGAATGAATTTACTGTAACGCCATATTAATTATAGCTCAACACTACGAATCGAATGCTTACTTCTAATCATATGAGTCATAAATAAAGATATCTTTATTTATAAATATATAAATATATATTTATATAATAATATAATAATATATAAAGAACATCAAAAATAACCTACGCATGTCTTATATAGGTTACCGTAGCTCGAATAAAAATGAACAAACTTAAAATAATACAGGATAAAATTCTCGGTATAGCCTTTTAATCACCATGATTCATGCATAACAGCCCCATAATAACACTAGAATACTATGCCTGGATACATGGATACAATGCCAATTTAAAAAAAAATACCTACCAATAAACTCTATTGAAAGAGTTTATTCACTATAAAATCGGTAAAATAAATAAAACTATTCAGAACGAAATCTCGTCTTCCACGGAAAATCTTTCTATCCCTACAACCAACAACTGAATAATCATATTCAGAATCTATATTCGCACTTCTGATAATGATACATATTATATTATATTATGATTTATATTATAAACACTCACTAATTACTATATAAATTATTACTAATATACACTAATAATAATCGAATTTTCAAATCTGAAATCCGTATTTTGAATTTGCGGATTTAAATATTCGAATTTTGGGTTCAACATTTTGTTATTCTGTATTCTAATCAAAAATTTAATTGATTACAATGTATGTGTATTTGTCAAAACTTTATTTTAAAACATATATAAAATAATAGTAATTTAATTATTCAAAAGCTGAAATTGGAATTTCAGATAAAAATTGAATTTTGGATTTCAAATTCCAAGAATTTAGATTTTTGAACTTCGGAAAATCCAGGTTTTTCACATCACTAATACCCGTCTACGTGTTCAAAACTGTTTTTATTTTAACATACACACAGGACCGGATTATGGTCATAATATATTAAAAGGGGGGAGGGGTGCATTATTTGTGATTAAATTCTTTTATGCAAAACAATTTCATTTTTTATTCAGATTTAATATTTTGATTTTTCAATTCAACTTTTTTCACTCTTTTTGTCACAAAGGTACCTTGAATTTTGACGTTTTCTTACGGTACTATTTTTTTTTCTTATCTCATTCAAACGTTTATGTCTTATGCTGGTGGCAATGTTTCGAGAGGACCGAAGCACTACGACCGATACCACTGAATCCTAATGCTGTTCTCCTTTCATTTCGTAGCCATCGTGTTCGGTCCACCAGCAATCCATTCCTTCCACGAGTCCACGAAACCCCAAGAAATCGTTCAAGTGAACGATATTATCACAATGTTACATTGTTAGTGCCTATATTGACACGACCAAATCGCTGGTTTAAGTTGAAATCACATTCCACATGATTGGAATTATCAAAGAAATTCCATTTCAATATTAAGTCACTCATATCAGAGGACGAGTACATAATAATTGTATATACATATGTATTTACATATTATAAAACTATTGATGGTTATAATGGAATTTTTTTTTCTTTCTCTTACAAAAGAATTTTCAATGCGATTACTCCTTTTTTCGATTTCAAAACTTTGCATATGATAATGCCATACATATTATAATGGTTTCCTGGTATAAAAAATTAATCGAAATCGTAATTCCTTCAGAATCACTTATTGAAAATCATTTGAAATCGAGCCTAGGACACACGTAACAATCTAAGATATAACTCCCAAGTATCAATGTGGCTTCAAAGAAGAACAAAAATTCGTTTAATTTTTCTTTTATTATATAATATATTTCAGTTTATAACTTACAAAAATAACAAAAATAATATAGTTACTCTACTCATAAGATCATAATGAAACACTTGTGTAAAATCTCTAAAATCCTACCGTCATAGTGAATACATAATAAGTTTGTCTGTAAAAAAAAAATAAAAATAATAATAATAATAAATATTTTACCAGTAATATTACTCAATAACATAATACTGAAAACGTAACGAGTTGATTTGGAATGTTGGAATAAATATCTGAGGAATGATTAAAATAAATTAATCAGTGATTTAATTTTAAAACCACTACATTGTATAGTTTTTATAACTATTATGGATTTATTTTTCTGTTATAACAACTCATTTTATATACATACCTATGTGAATTATGTTTCAGAATATATCTGTATTAGTTGTATTAATATACAGCTGGATGATCAGTTCAAATATGAAAAATGCTGTTCTTCTTCAAGATGTATTTTATGGTGAGTAAACCTTAAGTTAAGTGGGAAATTGTATGCTAAGAAAAAGCGAATATATAAAGCAAAATAAATCAGTGATTTGTTAAGAAACTTTCAGTTGTTGTTTATATTTGTAAAATATTAAATACAGATAAAATCGATTTTAATTGCAATATGAATGTAACATCAACTCAATTACTAACATTTTATGATATGTAATATTATTAGTTTTTTATTAGCTTGGTAAAAATACTATTCGTAAGATATTATAAATTTATTATCCACGCACATATTCACAACTTATTTAAATATTAATTATTCTATAAGAATTCATTTTATGCAAAGTTAATTTCTGATTCATGTAATATTTTTTTTATTTTGTTCGAAACAATACAATTTAATATAGAAACTATAGCAGTTATTTTTTAGTTAATATTGAATTGAAATCGCATAACGTCGTATAAAAAAATAATAGATGAATCATAATAACCATTCAACATATTTTACACAATCGATAATTGATAAATGAAAATATAATTAAACGTCTGATGTGTACAGTGGTCGTTATTTATATATATTTTAATTGGATTTTATTATTCATCAACCCAATTTTTGCAATATTATTATAATATATGAATAAGAATTATAATTATTTAATTCAGCTGAGAAAAAATATGATAACATGTATAACGTTTTTTAGACATTTTCCTTTTTTCCATTTTATGAAGTAAGATTTTTTTTATATCACATTTCTATTAATATTACATTTTTTAAGATGAATGTGGATATCGCTATGTATTTTAATGCAATTTAAAACTTAAAGATCCCTTCATCGAGACTACCTGATTCTGTTATTAATATTGCACCGGTTAAAAGCGAACTAAATTATTCAGGATTGTTATATAGACCAGTGTGATAAACTTTAAGCGAAGTGTATTAAATGGTATGATAAAATATTTAAAGTATAAAATCGCACAAGAACTTTTTTAAACGCGCCAAAGAAGAAAACTTGTCAGTTGTAAAAGCATTACACCGGCTCGTTTGTCGATGAAACTACCAAAGGATTGCACGCAATGTTATCAGTTAGTTACACAAAACGTCTATAAAAATCTCTAAATTTACCTGGATATCGTTGAGCATAAATTAGTGCTTCATGATATGCAGTTTTTCAACACTTCCGATAAGTAAATAACGTATCAATTTTTTCCAAATGATTTATATTTACCACAAAGTAACGAAGAAATAAAAATCCATTAATTTTAAATTCCATGGTATTAATAAATTTTAAAATATTTTAAATTAGTAAAAAAAATAATCATTAGTTATAACAGGGGATTGCCATTGAAGAAGAAAAAGTTGTACTGCACTTGTAAATTAAGTTAAAACAATTTATAGGTCATAAAATTGTGTATTTTTATGTTTTAACAACCAACTAGAAAACAGAATTAAAATTGCAAGTCTCTACGCAAAGATATTGAATGTTGTCAATTATCATTTACACACCATATGTATATATTATGGTGGTGCCTATTCTTCGTTATTGGTATTTATTCCGTCTTACCCCGTAAATAAATTTCAATATGTATAAAAATTAAGTATACAAAACTGCACGTCAATATGATAAATTTAACCCATAAAGTTCAAAAACATGTTTCTGTCCAAACGACCATGGTTCTTTTTATATGTTTTGTTGATATCTTAATCGTAATCGTTTTATAAAAAAAAAAAAATACGTGTACGACGTTGTTTATAGTGAATTAAATTTTCTTTTATCCCTGTTCCGTACAGTTTTTTGATAAACCTAATGTTTTCTTACGCAACCGATTGTGATCCGTATAGGAATATAAATAACGTAACGATCAAACAATATTATTACGGAATTCGTTACACACTTGTACATACACGTGCATGCATAAACACGATGAAAATATGCATTCTCATTCGTTTACGCAACGTTTTCCGGTGGCTCTTGGGCGAAACGGCACGCCGGACGTATTGGCGGGCCACGGCGAAACCAATTGTCAAAAAAATCGAAAAAATAAAAAAAAAATCAAACAAAATCTCATACGCCTACCTGATTGGGGAAGCCGCATAAAATACGCAAACGTGACCGATGCGAAGACGTTTCAAGAACCGGTGTGGTCCCGCCAGGACCGTAGCAAAGATATAGCAAGAGAGGTGCCTGCTCACCGGGCGCAATTCCCGAGAGACCGCAAAAATTAAAATCTTGCATTTAACGTTAAAAATTGTAACGATCGTATATTCGTATGTCGTATATTCTATTTACAAAATCTTTAACATCCTTCATATTGATTAAAGCCATTGAAAATAATATTTAATAAGCGTATTATTTTTAAATTAAAAATACATCCGGGTGCAATGTTTGGTCGCCGTGGCACTGGGTCCCGCTGCGGATCGTTTCCCGTCGACTTTTTCGCCGCACCGTCGACCTACGCGTGGATAATTTTTTTCGCGACCCTTATCGTGCTGTAGTTAAATGCGATTCTTTTTTTCTCAAATCCTCCCATCACTCCGTATAGTGTCTTTCCACGCGCGACGTCTTTCCGACCACGTCGAATGCATTGGGTGCGTAACCGTTTGCTCACCCGTTCGTCCCGTCGTTCGAAAACGCGCGCATCGACATCCAAAGCCGACCGAAACAACGTTATGCGATCGGATATTTACGTTGCTGATCGCGATCACCGTGTACTGTTCGGGCGGCCCCCACTCGAAACATACGCTGATTATGTAGTTAATGTCTTGTTTCCGTTTTGACTTCGGAGTAATCCGCACAATTATTAATTGATTTATGTTGCCGATACCCAGTTGATTTACATAATTTACTATTCAACCGCTATTTAGAACTTGAGTCACTCTGGTGTTATTCATGAGATTCCGGTTAACTTTTTATTAATCGTTTAATCTCTCCGAATTGTACTTGAAATATGATAACAATCCATCAAACCGTGCACGAAATTAATCTTGGCAATTATTTTTTTATGTATACACAATTTGTGATATTTTCCAATATGAATTGCTTTAAACGGAAAACTGAGATAACCCATCGTTATTATCTAGCAGAAATTATTACGTAATCGTAAGACACATTTTATCGATGGAAAAGAGAATTACATTACAAGAATAAATGTATAATGTAATTTTAAACTGATATTAATCTTTTTTCGTCAGCAAATTCTCATCAGGGTACACTGTAGCAATAAACCGAGTCCAAATACATACTACCCTTGCCTTACTTCACTAAGTTAAAAAAAATCTTGCTCTGTCTCTTCGTATTAACAACTCTACGTATACCCTCGGACACGATATCAATGTTTAGAACAACTATTCGGTAAACATTTAGTCTTAAAAATACACGTTAAAACAACTGTCTTATAATTTTTTAAAAGTTTGTGCTTAAGTAAATTTGACTATCCGAATCCATCCAAGAAAATACTTAAATTTAAATACGAAATCGAAATTCCAAAATCCTTCTAAATCTATGTCTAAAACTTATCTAAGGCATCGAATCGTCTATAAAATTAAAATATTCCATTTGAAAATCTTTCGCCTCATCATCGATAGTCTTCTTGTCTAAAAGTCTCATTTCAGGTATCCGTATGACTATTGTAACTAATACGGTTTCCAAAACTTTATTTCCGTCTCTCGTTCTCCTATTCTTATTCAATGATCGTATCTTATAAATAATATAAAACCAAAGAACGTTTCTGATTACATTAAATAATATGAACATTTTTTCAAAAAATATAAAACGAAATTGTGAAACCTTATAATTAGAAAATTTAACAACTAACAGAAGTCAAATACATATTTTATATTAATATATGACTGTTAATGAACTGATAAAAAGCTTCAAATTGAAATCATCCATTTTTGTTTCTTTCAACGCAATAACTCAATAACAAATAACGAATTTATATACGTAATAACTCATCAGTTATAATTAAATATACGTTACATTTATAATCACATGTAAAAATGAAAACCAACTGTGCTACTCTTACTGATTATTCTTGTTCAGGTATAAATTTACGAAGCTATGAAAACATCAATAACCAATGAAACCAACCAATATTTATTTCTCTTCTATCGTGACTCATACATTTTCGGATTTACAGTACCTAACTTTCCTCTTGTTTTATTCATCCGAGTTATTTAAAAAAAAAAAAATACTTACTAACATTTTTAAATAGTCATACTAATAAGAATTATATTTGGCTAACAAATATTCATCTATCTTTAGCCAAAACATCAAATTCACTTGGTACTCGATGTATAGGTATTTTTCTTATTTTTTTAATAAACTATAATATGATTTACTAATATGCTATATTAAAGAAATGAAGTGATAACACTGTCATTTTTAAAATACAATGATTTTATTCACAGCATGTAAATCAAAAAATGGTAAGAATAAAAATAATTGTTTTAAAACTATAATAAACAAACACTGGGTATATTCTACAATAAAGCTCTTTTTGTTGGTACATTAAAATTTATTAAAATATATCAAATATTCCAGAAATATTTTAATCTAATATTCTTCTAAACTTCTAATTGACCTAAAGTAAAATACAATGTATGTGTATCTCAACAAAATTAAAAATACATTTATAAAATTAAAACTGATTTGGAAATTTAAAACTGTACGTTATAACTTTAAAAAACTTAAATCGTTTTACATTAAAATAAATAAATTTTATACTTTAATCATCTTAAATGATACCAACTTATATATTGTTACAGCAGCAACAAATAAAATACTAAATATCCGTCACAGTGCATACACTATATTTAATGATATATTATTTATATTAAATAAAATATTATATATTTTTTTAAATGTATTACAGGTGTTCAAATAGCATACACAGCCGTCATTGGAACCAATTTGTTCATCTTCGCTGCCAGTGTCATATTACTCCTAGGAATTGTCAAAGTAAATATTACTCATTTTTACTAAAAACGTTTTATTTTGAAAGCAAACAATCTATATAAATTACCGACGCCATTATCAACATGACTTTTACAATACCGAACTTTTCTTTTCCCCTCGGTATCTTTTGCTTATGGTTTTTATTTTATTTATTATTTTCTTTTCTATTACAAATAAAATCATGACCCAATACTAAAGACAACATCAATTTTCATTTCTTTTATTTCGACAGAAGTACTAAACTATATAGTGTTAAGAAGCGTTGAATTTAAAAAGCATTTCGACTGGCATCTACGGGGCACGAGACTTGATAAAATGTTTGTTTAGTCTCCGAACAAATACACAATACTCATCATAATAATATGTATCATACACACTGAATACTTCTTAAACATATATTTATCTTTGTGATGTATACCACTCTAAACCACGCTTCATGTTTGGACGAAAGTTCAAATTCATTTCAAAATCCTGTACGATTATTTTTCGGCATTGTAAAAATGCTAAGATATTTTTGAAAATCAACTTTTTTTATCTAGAAAATTATCCGTGATTTTCGTTTCAGCAATTTGCTTTATTTGTTTTACTTTATTTAATTCAAATACTGTTAAAATATTCCGAAATAATTATCTGACCAATTTATTGCACTATGGAATAAGTACGGTTTATATTATATGAAAACGAAGTGTAACATAAGCTTACCGTTTTTAATACATGAAAATAGAAACTTTTACTGTCTACATATAATATTTAACATCTTACTAAGACCAATTAGAATACTTGAAGTATGCTTCACTGCCCAGTATTGATAATGAATAATAATATTCACAGTCGTTTTATGAATAATAATTTCTCTTATGCAAATACTAAACTATAAATGAAGCTATAAGTATTCAAATGCTTAAAATAATTTTAATTATTTAACTAATTATTAGTGTGCTTCCTCTAAGATCTATATGTATTAGCAACCAAAAATGACTTGGGCATACCATAACTCGACACGAATAAATAATTGATTATACCATTGAAATTTATCAAAATAGTATCCAACATTTCTTTACTTTTGTCAATAAGAAAAAACTTTTGTGTGTAAATTCTATTACCCAATGTTAAATTACGAAAACGAAGTCTTCTACAACTAAATAAATATTAACAGATAACGTAATTTATTTAAATTTTAAATGTACATACAGTACAGATATGATAAAAAATTATGAGATTAACGGGTAATATTAGACTAAGATAAAATTAAATCAAGAAAGACATTTTAAAATTCAAAGCTCAGTTAAATTTTATATCAATCTTATCTTTGCCTGAAATCTACTCCGAATCCAATAACTTTACCGATTATCAAATACTTAAACTTAAATTATTAAATTACTGTAATAACTCAAAAATACAAATATAAAATAATGGGGAAAGTGGTATATATAAATAGTGGTAAGATATGCAAATGTGGGTTCTTACCTTCCTCCTTGTTTAAGGGAGAGCTCATAGGGTTGTAAAGGTTCAAGAGCCGATTATACAGTTTGCCAAGCTAAATTAAGCAGCACTTACTTGTATTACCTAGACCTTCAGATATCGATGCGAGGTCGAAAAAAAAGGATAAATGCAGAATTTCATTGCACTGGAACCGAATACTCTTCAACAATCGTACGAAGAACACAAGTCGAACGTATTAAAATCACAAGTCAAATAAATCATACGTATAAACTCTCTCATTGATCTTACGATCCGTGCGCATGCACTGACGACCTAAGGTCAAGAGCTCGGGGAAGGGTAGTGTGTGTTCTTGTTATATAGGGACGTATGTCCGCATGGACCTTTGACGGTCCTTTGAAGATTAATCTTTATTGTTCGATTTGTGTTGTCCGTGCGGGTATCAAAAGAACCGTTATTTATTTATTTAAAATAGTTTAAAATCCCATACATACGAATAGTACACATTATTAAAAAATATTTGTGCTGTCTTTTTCAATCGAATGATGCACATAATTACATTATTAAAAGTTCGCTTACAGCCCATAGTCACTTTCTTATTCTCAATATAAAATACCATTAACACTTCGTTTTCCGAAGCAATCTAAAATATTAGCATCACAAAAATATATTAGATTTTCAGTATTTTTGTACTTTAAATGACAACCAGAATACCTATTGCTGTTAAGGCACAAAAACTAAGACATTTTCTTGTGCAATAGTTTATTCAATATTTAAGTTGAAGCATGGGCATTATCTAGAAGATAATAATACTTAACTGTATTAGCGAAAATATTAAAATAATATAGAAATATATAATCTTAATCTATATCAAAGTTTTTTCGTAGAATTTGTTTGATCAGAAAACGACAAAAAAATTTACAAAAATAAACTGCAGGTATTAATAAAATACTTATTTACACTTTATACTATTTTACCGTTTTAAATTAACGCAATTCATTATGATATTAAAATATTGTCCACGTTGTTCAAGATTTGAATCAGCTAAAGCTATTTTATTGATGAAAACCTTTGCAGTGGTAGTACACACATAACACATAACAACGCCCCAGTTCTAAGCATTGCAATTAAAACCAATGACATTACACATAACGCATGTTGCTACCATTACCAATTCGATGTGGTTCCATCTGAATACTGTTCTCACTATCGCCACTATAATCATCTCCAACACAATAATCCTTCTCCAGTGGTAAATTAACTTATGGTACCTACCTGGATTAGTAGTGGGTTAACATTTTTTTCTAAAACGAACATGTTCAATATACTATAAGTCTATGTCACTATAAACCGTTCTTGTGCTTACGTAACGCATCACTGTATACTGGTTTTAGTCCAAGATTTCCCATAAAAATGCTATCAATCTGCGTCATTATCAACCCCCTTATGTAAGACATCATATGTTCTTCATTCATCTACAAGATGGTAATCAATCATACACCGACCATAATCTTTAACACTCTCTCAATGTTATGTTAATTTCACAGATCCTACACATTCAATAAAACTACTTAATTTGCACTAATACGTAATGTTATGCAATTTTAAAGAAAAATGTATAAAATCAGTTTAATCGATAAAATTTAAGCCAATTTATACAATATAACCTTAATTCTATATAATAACTATATATGATTCACTGATTACCATTCCATAATTCTATTTAAAGTATCAATAAAAAACTAAATAAACATCCATATGCAAAATAAATATCATAGATTATTTTTGTCCAAATCGTTTATAATCGTTAACTAATAAATTACATAAATATAAAACCATCACTTTTAAAAGCCACTACTAACAAACAAATTCAATTAATCTTAATTTTAAATTGGTTTAATGTATCACAAATATAATCGTTAAAATCCAATTATTTGTATAATACACATAAATTAATAGAATATACATCATTTCGACGCGGTAATCTCGACGCGCGTCAAATGGACGCGATCATTTGAACGAACAACAATTGGGCGCATGCGTCAATTAGACACATGCAACTTTGACATGATCACTTTTAGACGTGAGTCAATATTAATGCAAAACAAAAATAAAATATATATAACATATATATTATTAGGTAATTTCAACGTAAAAATCTGGTATCTGTATATCAGTATATTAATATAGCTTGCTTACCAATATGGTCTAAATTGTACATATTTCATCATTATCTTTATTATGGTTTGCCGTTCAATTAAACCTAAATCATTAATAAAACATACCATAACCTACAGAAAACTTTGCAGAATATTTTTTGCACTGAGCCGGGTTCCAACTGGTGACTACGCGCGTCGTGGCCGACATTGTGACCATTGCACCACTCTGCCACTCGTATGTTATATACATATATATATATATTATTTTTGTTTTGCGTTAACATTGACTCGCGTTTAAAAGTGACCTCGTCAAAGTTGCATATGTCTAATTGACGCATGCGGCCAATTGTTCGTCCAAATGACCGCGTCCATTTGACACGCGTCGAGATTACCGCGTCGAAATGACGGGACACCAGAATAATACTATTACCAACGGTTCACTCGTTGAATGATCAACGTATAGCCAAAACTTACATACTGATTTATATTAGGTTCTATGAGAATTTACTTATTACTATGTATAAGCGGACTAAGAAAGAATTTTTCAAAAATCACATTTTTAAAGGTCAAAACCTTTTTGGGCTATGGGCTAGGTGTAAATATTTTTTCACTTTTTGGTTACTTAGCATTGTTTATTGTACTTGGTTTCATATAGGATTTATTTTGATAACATCACTGGTCAATTTTGCTCAAAATATAAATTAGTTTTTATTAAATTTATCATAATAAAATGGTTTTTTTCCGCCGAAATAACATAATTGCATCAATCTAAATTAGTAAAATATCTCACGGACAATGATGGGTAATTTATCTAGTAATTAACAATAATACATATTGAATTTAAACTTCGAAAATTAAAAAACTTGTTACATGTTAGATAACAATTTTAGATCAACTTAGAAACGCGCTCTACACCGTATATCAATAAATCCGACAGCCCTACAAACCTATTGAACACAGTTACAAAACAGCGACCGAGGACGAATGTAAGAGGATTTAAACAATAAATTAAAGGCAGGATAAAATAAAGTTAAAGCTACATTACATACATACAAGAGAGTATATAGGTTACTTTCGTATATTATCATATATCTCGAAAAACAAAATAATGAATACACAGTGCTTAATTTAAATCCTAAAATCTATACAAAAGGTTTACTTTAAGTAATGGAAAATAAAAATATATTAATTGAAAAATTAACAAAGAATAAAAAAACAATTTTAATTTGGTACAAAATGTCTTACGTGTATTAAAAACACACACACACGTGTTATTCAATACTTCTAAACCCAATAAATCCCTGGACTTTTCTCAGAATTGTGTACAGAAATGTAGAAAATCTATTACGTTTCAATACAAGACCAGCTTTAATATTTTTAATGTTTGGTCAACAAATAATATAT